CTTGGGCCCTGGAGGTGGCCCGGGTGAGTGGCAGCCTTTGCTCTGCACAGACGTTTCCGTTTTACCTCCCAAGCAGCAGCATTTGAGGGCTGACGCGTGTCAGAGCGGGGCTGTTTGCAGCGGAGGGGCCTGACGTGTGCGACCCACGGGCGGCCCAGGCGGGCGCCGCGTGCCGAGCGCTGGGCGCCCATCACCGAGAACCAGCGCCGGGCACGAGGGCCTTGAAGCCATTGCTGGCCCCTGGGCAGCACCGCCGGCCCACCGGGCGCAGCAGCGGGTTCGCTCTGCTCTTGGGCAGCCTGTTGGTTTTCCTTTATCCATGTCCAAAGCAGGGTCACACTCCTGATCCTTTCTCTCATGGCTAGAGCTGGAGGAATGACATGGGACCGGATCTCCCTGTCCCCTTGCCTTCCTGTCCCACATTCTCACCAGCATGATAAACCTGAGTCGAGCAGCAGGACATCCAAACCGGAACCAGCATTAGCATTTAAGCATATGGGTGTGTGTGAAATGCATCTACTTCTCTTCTGTTTTATGGGGAAATCCATCTCTCGACATGACGCTGTGCTCCGAGGCGCAAGGCTGGGTTGAAGCTGTGGCATCAGATAACCAGATTACTGGAAATGTAGCTCCAACTCATGCCTCTTCTGCATGGAGCGATGTTCCTGAGGAAGGCAGGATGCTCATGGCTCTTCTGGATGCTCATGGCAGCTACCAGATTCCTCCTGGTGTGTTAACTGGGTGACTTCACTATCTTCTAACGCTTTAGTCTCATTCATTTTCACGCACGTAGTCACTGACACACTTGAAGGTTGTTTTCTGTGTGTGTGAAAAACAGTATGGTAGAGTATGACTCCAGGTGCACAGCTTTGCTTTCAGAGTGATTTCAAAGTCATTTCAGATGCCCCAGACTGCACGTCGAGTAGTCTCGGGCAATGCTGCATGTCTTGCCTTTGAAATCCCATTAAAAGTTCCTTAAATTGGACACCCAACAGGCAAGGCACTCAAAATGACCTGTCACTATTGGAAATGTAGGCCTTAATGTTTGGAGTTATTAATGGGCCTTTCTGGCTTAAGTCTTGCTCATCTGAAAGGTTTTTCTTTCAGTCACTGAAATAAGTCCTGCCATTTCCCTGGGGCTTAGGTCCTGATTTATCTGTTATTTTCAGTGTATGCTTCCAAGAGGCTCCTTATGTTGCTGCTGTTTCTCGTTTCAGTTTTGAATTGCATTCAGATTTGCTGGGCTTTTATCTCAGTAGTATTTCCATTCTTTGCTTTCAGGATGTTAAGTTCTAGCTGGGCAGCAATGCTTCTTTAATTTAAAACATCTCATCAAGGCTTCCTTTGAAAACTTGCTGCCCTCTCCTCTCCTCTCCTCTCCTCTCCCCTCTCCTCTCCTCTCCTCTCCTCTCCTCTCCTCTCCTCTTTGCGCCCTACTCACCCAGGCCGCACTTCCTGAGCTTGCCTACACAGATGTTATGGGAGACTGTTTCAAAAGCCTCAAAAACCTCCTACGCAGCCCAGAAAACCTCTGCTCACCCCGCTTTGGCGCGTGGCGCTGCCCTGACCTGTGCATCGCTCTGCGAGCCCAGTCGGGACAGGGCCGCAAGGTGCAGAGCCGGCGTCACCCCCGGCCTTCGCTGTGAGCTTTCCTTCCTAAACCAGCTTGTTCTTTTTTTTAAGGTTTATCCACACATCTAATATTGTTCTCAAACTATTTACGGCTTTGCTGTGGTCTTCTATGTTTGTCAGTCTCTGATCCCTTCCTGCAGCCGTTTTGCCTGGGCACATCAGCAGCACCAGCAGTGTGGCTGCTTGCTTAACCTGTGCTCAGCAGCTGCAGCCAAGCACTACCCAAGAAAGCAGAAACAAGTTATGTATGTGATGGCACTTGGTGGCCTGTGCATGGCACCATGTAAGAGGATCTGGACAATTTTGGCCTTCAGCCATAAAGGCTGTTTGATGCTTCTTGGCTTTAGGAACAGATGGAAGGTGCCTGCTGCTGCGTGCAAAGAGCATCGCACCCGGGACTGGTCTCAGGGAAGCGAGGGATCCTGAAGCTGCTCCGTGAGGAGAACATTTCAGTGCATATAAAGGCCGTGGCCGTTCCACCGGCAGTGGCAGGATGCAAATGCAAATGCAATGATCGAGTGATGTTTGGAGAAAGCGGCTCCTCCAGTTACGGCCTCACTGCATTTGTCAGGAATTGCTCCGCAATTTAACTGGCAAAGCGACTGTCACTTAGAACTGGAAATATTGTCACGCCCGACAGGCGAACTGGATAAAGGCTCCTGCCAAATCGCGTTAGAGGGCACATCTGTGAGGAGGCAAAGTCCAGGCCATTTTGCTAACGGCCGCATTTAGCTCCACATAGATGTTCTCCATCAAAAGGCCTCCCCGAGCCAGGGGATGGCAGAGACCTGCGGGGCTGCGGCTCCTGTCACCACGCCGGGTCCTGGCCGCAGCAGAGACACAGCCGGGACACCCCGTCCTGCTCCCGCCGAGCCGCCCCGTCTGCAGGGGGAGGACACGGCCTCGTCCCGGGGAGAGGCGCAGGCAGCGCCGTCCCGCAGCCCCCGGCCCCCGCAAGGCTCCCGGGATGCGGCTCGAGCGCCTTGCGCTTGCCGGGGCTCTGCCGGCTTCTCGTTGCTCTCCACTGGCCGTCCTTGTGGGAGCCCAGGCAGATAACCTTTAATAATCATCTGAAATTCAAACACAAGTGTTCACCCCTAGCGTGTCCTAATATTTGAGAAAGGTTTTAGGATGAAACAGGTTTTGCTGCGTCCTGTTATTGGCGTGCAGCCCCGCGCGTGCGAGGCGCAGTGCGAAAGGCAATGCTAACAGCCTGCAAAGGTCAGTGCTCTGTAAAAGCCTTTTCAAACCAAACCCTGACAGCCCTGATCCCGCAGAGCTGAGCGGATAGCGCCCGGCTCGTGGAGCTCCAGCTGCAGCCCCAGGCGCCCGGGCAGCGACGTGCGGCCCCGCAGCCCTGCATCCCGCGGGAGCAGCACCGCCTGCTCCGCTGCCTGCGTGTCCTGTGTGCTCCACGTGTCCTGCGTGTCCCTCTGTCATGTTCCGTGTGTCCTATCTGTCCCAGGTGTCCCACGTGTCTCGCATGTCCTGTGTATCCTGCATGTCCCATGTGTCCCACGTCCTGCGTGTCCCATGTGTGGTGTGTTCTGTGTGTCCTGTCTGTCACACGTGTCCCATGTGTCTTGCATGTCCCATGTCTCATCTGTCCCGCCTGTCCTGCGTGTCCCACATGTCCTATGTGTCCTGCGTTTCCTGCTTCCCGGCTCCTGCCCCCCCCGCCGGCCTTTCCAGCAGCTGCCAGCCCAACACCGATGGGCACCTGCAAAGCGGGCAGGAGGGACAGGGCAGATGGGACGGGGCCCAGGGCTGTGACCAGGACCTCGTGCCCTGTGGCCATGGCCTGGAGGCTGCATGGGGATGCACAGTGTGGGAGGAAACGTGTCCGTGCGGCACGGGCTCCGCTGTCACCCTGAATTCTACCTTGGCCCTGGGCAGATGGAAGGATCTTGGCGCGTATCAACCTCAGTACTGCTGCTCTCTCGACGTTTCGCCCGCCTGCAGCCCCGTTTCGACTTTGGCCTTCCCTGCTGGTTGGACCTGAGGCACTGTGTCGAGCCCTTGAGCGCTCACGAAGGGCTTCAAGGCAGCAAAGGGAAAAGGATCCCTCTGCCAGGGCAAGGGTGGCTTTACACCCACTCGCCACCCTGGGGAAAGGGGTGCAGAGGGAAAGATACAGACAGGCAAACCTGCAGCGGAGGAGACAAGTGACAGCAGGCATGAAGCCCTGTGACACAAACTGCCCCTGCAGATCTGTTTTGGTTCCAGCTGGACCCGAGAGAAGCAGCAGAGCCCGTGCGGGAGCTGTCGCCCAGCCCAGCTCCACGGCCTTCCCGCTGCCCGCAGGCCTTGGCTCGCAGCAGAGGACAGCGGCCTGGGGCAGAGCTGCCCTTCGAGCTGCCCCCTGCGCGTAAACGCAGTGCGGACGCGTCCGGGCAGTTCAGGCCCCGCTGTCCACGTGCTGGGGACCGCGGTGCCGCCCGGGGCTCCAGCTCTGAGAAGAGCCTGGGAGCCTCCTGAGAGCTGAGTTACATATGGGGTAACTGGCACCTACCGACGAAGCAAAGCAAGAGTGGGGACGAGGCGAGAGTCGAACTAATGCACCTGACACGCAGCTCCAAGGATGACACCAACATCTGCAGAGGAAGCTGAGAAGGGCTCTCATTCTTTCCCCAGCATTTCTGTCTTAAAATTGTTACAATTTAATCATTAATAACAGAATCTCACAAACCTTTAGGGGCAAAATGCTCCACATTTATTTACATATGAAATGTGTTTAATACAGTTATAATGGACGTAGTGTATAATAACATCTGACAGCAGCAAGACTTTTAAGGAACCGAACGATTACTACTGTATCTCATGCAGCTATCTATATACACACAATTTGTTTTTAAAAAAAGTACAAAATTTATTTAGGGATACATACAAGGTATAAAATGCAAAAACGAACTGGAAATGCAACTCTCACGGAGACCGGTGTGTGCGAGGGGCAGCGTGGGGCAGCGCCTGCTCGCGGTGCCGGTGACGGCAGCGACGCCGGAGGGGCTGCGCGGCACTGCGAGACACGGAGCACCGGGATGCTCGGACCCTGCAGCGAGGGCCCGCAGCCTCCACGAGCAGAAGGGAGAACATGAAATGCTGCTCACTTGCTTCTCTGTGATGGTTAATAAATTACACGACAAAAAACATCGTAATTATAAACCTAGTCCTCTAAGTTACATCTCCTGTGTTTGCCCCCGAGCAGCCCCGTGCAT